TTCTTAATTCCATACTACTTATACACTGACTTTCCTTATAGTGATTATTTTCATCTTCAGAGAAGCCCCACTGAATTCCCTCACGCACACGGAGATTTCAGCCCACCCTTAAAGCCCAGCAGTTTTCCCAGTGTGACACACCTTGCCGAATGATTTCCATGCACATCAGAATGGCCTCCTCACGCTCTCCTCGAGCAAACCTGATGTTGGCCTCTCCCATCAGACCCCTCAAGGCACGAGGAAGTTTGCTGCGAGGTCTTTTCTCCTAAACGGAAAAGGGAAGTTTAAGCTGTGCTCAAATTCAGGAGACATCAGTCACACTTGTGCTTAAAAAAACCTAATAACAGGTTATTTAAGTACTAGTGATATTAAGTGACTGACCAAAAGATTTTCAAATTTTCATAGCTGACAGAGTAACTCTGATACCTAATATAAACACTGGAATCCTGACACTGGAAAAACTGGTTTCATGACTTTTGAAAGTTTTCAAACAGTAACCTACAGTAATATTTTTAAAAACAAAGACAGCATAACAAAAACCAGCATAAGCAGAGGTATCCTATGTGGGACTACTTCCAGACAAATTTCTTAGCAAGTAGCTAAAATCACACACAACTGCCATTTATGCAGCATGGTCAGGAGATACAGGGAAGTTACATGAAAGTTTAAATACTTGCTTTCATCATTTTCTTGGTCTCTCGATTAAGTACCATCTCCAAAACAAAAACATCTCCAGCCGTTGGCTGCTCAGTAGTTTGTTCCTCTTCTTCTTCCTCTTCTTCTTCCTCCTCTTCCTCCTCCTCTTCATTTTCCCCAATCATGGATGCGAAGACCCGATGAACAGATTTACTGACACCATCTGATGTTTCTCCTGGTTGAGAAAGAAGCAAAAAAGGTCTATGATATAATCAAGAGTACAAGCTGCTTATCAGGACAAGTGCAGAGAAAACAACAGCCCACTTGAAGCAGCTATTCTGTAAGAATGCTGCCTGCAGAAATGCAAGAAAACTATTAAGAGCCTCTGTGGTTTTAAAACTCTGCATTATTCATTACCAATGCTCAGTATACCCCAGTCTCTAACATTTTTTGGATATTTGAAATGAAAGCACAGAGGAACACAAAGAATGAAGCAACAGTTTATTTAACATTTTTCTCAATCCATCCAAGAGAAGCATATTAATTTTCAAGCACCAAGCTGGCTGGCTGGAATAAAGCTTTTCAGCTGAAGAGGCTATAAATGAACAGATAATTCTACTACACAAAAATGCAGCAACCAATTTTTAGAAGTGATTTAAAACAAGATCTTGTGACTATTCCATCCATGACAATAAGTACCTTTTAACATGTGTTAATGCAAAATCCAGATTATTCACATTTCTCTAGAAAAATAACAGAATTCTTAAAATAAGTAAGAAAATGATGCAATATAACCCAAATAAATATGCTTAAAGCATACAATTTTTAAAATTTTCACATTTTTTATTTACAATTTCTCATTACTAAGTTAGCCCAGGGTTATAACTGACCACAGATCTACATGCAAAACATCCAAATATGTAGGGTTCAAACGTTTCAACTGGGGGACTGGGCACCTAAAGATTTGATGAAAGTATAATCACAGTATCAAGTTGAGACTGAAAAACAAATCTATCATGTATTGCCTATACAGAAGAGGGAACTGGGGACTACATCTGAGTTTATGGTTGGTTTTTTCTTCTTTTTTTTTTTTTTCTGACTTGGATATGTTCAATTATTTTTATTCTGACTTGGATATCAAGCATTTAAAAATCAAGATTTTTCTCCCTCCTCCCTCCATCTGAAAAAAAGCCTCAATTATTAATTTAATTTCCCTTTTATTTCAGTATCCTTGGCTGCAGGAATCATCTGAAGATTGCAGCAGATTACATCTGAAGATCTGGGTATCAAAAGTGACCTTAACAATGACCTTATCTAACATTTTTTTATCTAATATTTTTTATTCTTCTGAATATCTTAGGTCTGATTCTAATACCAACTCCTTAAATAGTGATAACTATTATCAATGTTTCCTTGATTCTATCTGCTCTTGACACTTCTGTGTTCTCTGTAGTAAGAGCAGAAGTAACACTATCACACAAACCTACGAGGATATCTTTTTCTTAGATAAAGATGACGTGCATTAAAAAAACATGGGAATACAGAAGTGGAATACAGAGCAGAACAGAGCAGCTTGGAAGTATTTCAGAGACATGAGCAAGAGGAAGGGGTCAATAAGGAACCACAGATATCTGGCTCCGACCACACTTCAGTGTTCATTTTATGTGCTTCTAGGATGAGGTCTGGCCATACTTTCAAAACTGAGGTACCACTGACACACCTTTTAGGTGGGACAATTTAAGGTCTATTTTCTAAATTTAAGAAAAGAAAAAAAATCCAACAAAACTTAAACAGAACAATGAGAATTTGCAGTGAAAACAGCAAGAGGAAGCTAAGAAGCAACACAAAGAGATCCAAATTGCACTTTGCTATCTCACAGCCTTGGCAATCCCACAAGACTATGCCCCAACCAGAGCACAGCTTCTGAAGAGAAGGTGTCTGAAACAGACTGCAGCACTCTGGATCCCAAGCTCAAATCCAGAACCTGAGGCATGGGATCAACAAGCACTGATGCAAACTGCAGTGAGAAGTGCTGCACCTACCACTTCCTGCAAGTCCTTTCACTGTGTAAGAACCCCAGAAAGTTAAGCTTATTCTGCTAAAGACACTCAGAAGATATTTCAGTAAACCACACAAAGAAAGCCAGCAGGGTAATCTGTAGCTAGGAAGAGCCAGCAGAAAACAAGAAGATAAAGAATCATTGGCACTCCAAAGAGGCCGAAGCATAACTGAGCAAAAGAAAATAACCCCCAAAAAAAGAGAAAATAAATAAACTCCTCCTTACAGCTATTTTATTTCACTTTGGTTGACAATGGAAGAAGGCAACACTCACACAGAATACTCTGGAAAAAGTCAAATCTCAGCAGAAGACTAGTAAAGATATGAACACAAAAAAAAAGTCAACACAAACCAGAAAAGACTTCCTGAGATCAGCTAAAAAGTTCAATTTATTTGTAACTTTGGAGAGAGTAAACAATTGAGACCATATGGTTAAGAAGCCAGAAGGGGAAAAGTGGAGCCAGGTTTTATAAAAAGTCAGTTACTGAAGAGCAAATGCTTTCAAAGACTTTTTAAATAAGAATTATTATGTTAACATATACCATCAGCTTCATCCTGACTTTGGGATTTTGCAGATGCTTTTTTGGATGAAGATGGAGCCTCCACATCTTCGTCATTTTCCTCAGCAGACGCATTTCCACCATCCTACACACACCAACAATATTAGTTATCAGCTTTACCATATGACCTATTCTTATTTCCCCTAATATTTACAATTATCATTTAGACCATGGGTTTCCATGTACTGCTAGTGAAACAGGTGGAATAAGTGCTGTAGTTTTAAGTGAACAAAATCCAGCACTACTCGCTTTCAAGATATTTATATTCTTATCAATGTTAAATGAATCAGTAATCACATCACTTTTGACTGAAGAGATTAGTCCACTGTTTATTTGGCATTAGGTAAAATGACATGGTTGACTATATTAAAAAAAAAAACAAAACACAAAGTTAGAACTGTATGACAAATCCTTCCAAAAGCCTGCCTTTTTAAACACAAAATGAAATATATCAAAATAGCACCTGCTAACCCGGTAAGAATGTTACCCTAGGATAACACCTGTCCTTCCCTAGGATAACACAGGTGAGTTCTCCTGAATTTGCTCTTGAAATACAGAAATTCAGTTGCATTTCGACATAAAGATGGAGAAGCTAAAGTAAATTACAACAGTCCCATAAATCATACAGATTTTCTCTTAATACCACCGTCTGCTTACTTTTAGACACAAAGCTGTGCCTCCCTGCTTTTACTGCTGCCAAGAAGCTAAACAATAAACACGAGGAGCCAAACTGCATCTCTGCCTTAGACTTCCCACAGAAGATGGTGGGGGAGCCGTAGCAGTGTACACTGGATCATTTTATATCCCAACCTGCTTCTGCTCAGTGCTCCGACCCGCAGCACCGATTAACCGCGGGGCCGGACGGTGCCGCCCAAGCTCTGCCAGGGCCGGCGCTCGACCCTCCCCGGCAGGACCCGCAGGGCTGCGCTACCAGCACCTCAGCAATTAGTGCCTGGTGCTTTGTGCACAGGAGTTCACAGCTCCGTAGCCACTATCCCCGCCTGAGCTCGGCAGCAGTTCGCGCCAGCCCCCCATACACACACAGAGCAGCGGTCCGTGCCCTGCCAGGTGCTGCCATGGACGGGGCGGGCCGGGCCGTGGGGCGGCCAGGCGGGGCAGACTAACCTTCTCGCGGCTCTTGCGTTCCTCCCGGCGCTGCTCGAACTCCTCGAAGGAGATCTTCCCCTCTAAGTACTCGATCAGCTCCGGGCTGAAGCCCGACATGGCCCCGTCTCGACCCGCTCCGGGGGAACGCGTGCAAGGGGCACCGCGTCCCGCCCGCTATGGCGCCCGCTGCAGCCCGCGCCCTCACACTGGAGTTCCGGGCGGCGCCAGTGCCGGGGGAGGCTGAAGGGGCTCCCGATCTCGAGGGGATCCCGATCCCGGGGGGCTCCGGGAGCCGCGGGGGCTCCCGCCCGGGAAGCTCCGGGCGGTGCCGCTGCTGCGGTCGCTGCCTCGGAGGGGCCGGGGGTGAGGGCAAGTCCTCTGTCACCGACCTCAGTGCAGGTGTGAGGTTATTTCCTCAGAAATGCGGGACCATTTTACAGGAGAAGGGGTTTTGTCACCTACAGATACGGTGATGGTGCAGGTGACTTATTGCCTGGGGCAGGGTCAGAAACGGGTGTGCGGGGCTGGGGGTGAGGCACAAGCAGCCACTGGCCAGTGTTCACTTCAGCCAGCCGAGAAATGAAAGGGCTTTCAGCAAAAACGTATCTGAAAAATTGCCTCAAAACACCTTAGGACATATCTAGTTCTAATAAATCGAAAGCTAACATTTATTTCTCATTTTTGCACAAAGACACTTAGCAGTAATCGCAAGCACTCTGTTGCACTCCTCGTTTATTCACACTCAAACACAATTCTGCTCAGCCGACTCAGCCCACAGCTGAGTAGTAGCGAAACAGCCAAACATTTGTCAAGAGACCGAATATATGCTAATTACAGCATGACATCACGTTCCATAGGTAGGAACTGTGACAGTGAAGAACATTTTAAACCGTCAGGTAACAATTAAAAAGTCAAAGCAGTAAAATTTTGCTGTGAGGGTTACCACTTCGTGTGAAGTTCTACAGCCTGTAAAAGACAAAAAAAAAAAAGTGACACAAATACAGAAATATCTATATGCAACCAAGGTCTGATCCAAACCAAGACCTGGTAACACTGGCTGAAACAGCCCAACTGAGCACAGCAGACCTCAACTTCCAGAAAACAGTTCAGAACACGGAAAAGAACTGCCGTGACCATCCTGAATTATGCAGGACAAATTACTTCCACCAGTCACTTTCTCATTGCTGCTGTGACTTATAGTAGAGCTACAGCATCCTTTCTAAAGTCCCTTTTCATTTATTTTTCATGCACAATATTCAATCTGTGGTGCTTTTTTTTTCCCCCTGGCATAAAAGCCCAGCAAAAAGAGAACCTAGTATTAAAATCTGAGTGCAGTCTTCATTCTGATTCATGATAGTAAGAGTAGTGGAGCTTCACTTTTGATTACAAAGAGCAATGTGGTTAAGCAGGCAGAGAGCAGGACAGAGATGGAAATCCTAGGCTGAGTATTGATGACAAATGAAGCTCTTTAAGATACTGAGTAAATCACTAAAGTGCTTAGATTCAAATCTTACTGAAATCCTCAACTATTTGTAAAACAGAAGAAAACAATTATTTACCTTTCCTCAGAATTGCCAATATTCACTTTCAGGAGGAGACACAAAAAAGGACTTATTTGTTACAGAGTATAGTTATTCATACATAAAATAGCTGAGAAGTACCTCCTATAAATTGAGGCTGGATGTATTAATAATGCAAGTTTAACCCAGTTCAACTGTTTTACATTTAAGGAGAGATGTGGATAAGGTCCAATCCTTCTATCAACCTTCAATTTTAGTCGAAATAAGTAGAAATTTAGTAGAAATAAGGAAAACAGCAGCAATGGACAAAGATGTAGAAGATAATGTATGCTTGGGTAGTACAATATCTTTTGTCTAAATTAATTTTCTTAATACACATATAGCCTAAGAAACCATTAGTCTCAACTTATAATTTTACTGGTATCAATTACTTAAATGAAATCTACATTCCCTATTACCTGTACATTTTCAGAATGCTTCTCCACATAAAAGAGGGGAGAAAAAAAAAGAAAATAAAAAAGCACGGTCTATATAGGTCTGCACAAGAACCATGTGTTATTTTATTTAAGTAGTAAATACCTCATAAATCTCTAACTCAAGAAGTTAAAAACCATTTCAGTCAAGAGTTAAGGTACTACAATTTTAGTTCCTTCTAAAAAAGTAGTTGTTTTTACACTTCAATCAGATGCAAGAATCACTTGAATCCAAATCTTTCTCTTGGTTACCTGTAACAACATCAGAGGATGAGGCCTCCTCTTTTACCTTGGTCAACAGCATCTTTCAGCCTTTGAAATGATTTGGAAAAGAATTTTTCCTTTCTTCGTAATCTGCAAATGCAGAAGCAATTGGATCTGCGTAGAACATGAGAGGCCTTGGTCCTTCACTGTTCACAGTGACAGTAGCTGGGAACTTCCTGAGATCAAGCCCCCTGCCCGAAAAATAAGCCTGGAGCGTTCTGAAAAACTGAGCATATGGCATATGTGAAAGTAAGTAGAGCATCACCAACGGAGAGTAATCATTTCTACTGACACAAATTAGATGTAATATTTGTTCCTCTGTGGAATGAAATCCTCTGTGGAATCATAAATTGATACAGTATAGGCAACATAATTCAGACATGCCCACTCCATCCATGGCTTGTATGTGAAGTCAAAAGACCACAAACTATTTACTGCTCTTTTATGCTCCCATTGAATTACTGGGGATTCAAACTGTATCCCGTCATAAAACAGGCACAGCCAAGCCCTTGCTGAGAGGAAACAGGACAGTTCTGTTAAACATTTCTCTAGGAGTCAGCAACAGTAGGCAACTGATTTGAACTGTACCCTTATAAACAGTTAAAAGTAGAAACTGATGCTTCTTAAAACAGTGAGGAAGAACTATGGGAAACAGGCTTTTTTTCCTTCACAAATTCTTTTTAAGATTGTGTCAATGTTCTCATAATGGTATTTTCTTAACTGTAATTCACTTTCAGATCTTTAGTCACTGTTCATGACATGTTGGATGCAAATGGATTTGCACTTCCATTTAATGAAACAACATGAAATCAGAGTACATATCTGAAAGAAACACAGTAATCATTCCTCTTCTGTTTCACGAAACAAGTAGTTGTATAATCAAAGTACATTTTTAAAAACTAAAACTGCTGGAAGGAGATATAAGGAAGTTTTATGCACTACTGCACACTGAGAATGTCTCGTCAGTTAAGGGTACACCTTGACTGAAAATGGTTATTGACTATACAAAGTGCACAGTTGCTAACACTTCATCTAATGGACTCCTATTATCTTTAAATTTAGAAGATAAAAAGTCTCTTGATGGAAAACAAGAAAAAAAACCCCCACATAATACTTTATCTCTCTTTCTTGAAGCATTTCCTTACCAGGTCTCTGTTTCTCGGGTTATCTAGAGGTTTCCATTTTTCTTCTGGCTGGAAAGGAGCACCCTTTGCCAATCCTCTCAGAGCCAACACTATGTATAGACCCAGGAGCACCACTTTCCCCATGTTGGAGATGAGCAGTCTGTAAGAAGGACAAACATACACACTCCTTAAGTCCTACAGAGCTGTCACTAGTAACACATAAACCAACCATGCTAATCCAAGGAAAATCTGCCTATTGCAGATTACGTCCATGTAAAAAAGTTACCAGTTTTTTTTGTTTGTTTTTCTAGTTCTAAGGGACTAGGAAGAACAAATTATTCTCAGGAAGTGTTTCCCATACCAAAGCTACTTTTAGACACTGAGGGACTGGTAGAACATTTAACAGAAAATACTACATTTGTAAATTTGCATTTGTTATTAGACCCATTTTCAGTGGCTGATTAGCTACAGCATCAGAACTCTGAGTGCTCCAAGAAAAACACAAAAATATGGCTCGAGATCCAGATAGTTCAATTTTTAAAATCGCATTAAATGAAGTTGTACTACGTATATTAATAAGTGCAATAACAACACACCCTGGTACAATATACTAGGGACACAGTTCACAACTTGACCCAAGGGGAGAAAAAAAATTCACCCTTTCACATTCTTTAAAATAAAGCTTACCAGTGAATTTGGCTCTGGCTTGCCCCTTCTTGGCTAGTCTGCCTGTAATCTGTGAACAAACTGATCTCTGCTCTTATATTTCTAGTGGACTGTAGGTGGGTGTCAATGACGTTAGCAGGAGCTCAAAAATACAGTAATGATTCCATTTCCATCCATGACATAAAGACCCTTGAGAATTTCATCCTTGATACTCTTCAGACATGTTGCTATCGAACAAATTCCTCCTAAGCCGTATTGCAGCAAATTGGTGGTAAGAACATAATAAGTTTAAAACAATTCCAGCAGAGATAGCAGAGCTGTATCAAAATATTATTTTTAATTAAAAGTAATTAGCCATATCTCTAGAAAGGTGACTAATGGTTCTCAAGCAAATGAGATATGGATCATTTTCTTGATGCTGGAAAAAAGAGAGAGAAAAGTAAGGTCTGTTTCAATATCCAAAATTATAACTTTTTAATGGAAGCATTGGTTTCCTACTCTGATTTTATCAGCAGTTAATATCCTCCTCTCAGACTAGAAACTAAGACAAGGAGGACTATGCTCATTTACCCTGGCCTTATTTCATAGAATTCTTCATATCCGAGCTGCTCATATTTTTTGTTTATAATTTCACTACACTGTTTCCTCCACTATATAGATGATACTTGATTAGGTATCACATAAAATATATCTCTAAATAGACATGTTAAAACTAAAGATTTTTGATCATTATCTTAATCCAGATTATAGATGTTTATTTCTGACTAGAAGCTTTACATTTTTGTTTTAAATTTTAAAAGCAAAACAAAAACCTAGCATCACCCTTCCAGAAGACAAAGTTTTGGACATCCAAACATCATTAGCAAAACAGTAAACAAAATGCTAGCAGTATTATTTTCATGTCTGCAGCAGCATATAAAAATTCAAGAGAATTTATTCAGCTTGTGTATTATTCTGCAGCTATGGATTAAAAAAAAAAATTCATGCCCTCAAAAAGACAATCTATCAAAACTCCATCCATTACATTTTATAACAGCCAACTTCCAGATAGTGGACTCATCAAGAACACAGCAGTAGCAACTGAATAACTTCTAAATAGGCAGGACCCAATGTAAGGGAACTTCCTTTATTGATTTTCTAGGTAGATACTTATTTCAGCCAGAAGTAGAAATATGCTCCTTTAGAGAAAATGACAGAAAGTGGAAAAGGCATGGTTTACAGTTTGGGATTAGATTTTATTTCCTTATTTAGCTTCAGGAAGAGGGTAGGGGAAAAAAAAACCAGAACAGCCCCTTTTTTCCCCTCAATTAATTTATTCCTTTGATTTCTTTATAAAGAACAAATTGGGGAATACACAGTATATCCAGTTAGTAAAACACACCAAAGTCATCTGTAAATTTGAAACAAGCTTTATTACTGCAGGAATTCAGGCAGTCTGGGTGACTGATGAAGTATGCAGATATGCAAGAGATTCAGTTGGCATATATCTTCTGTGAGCTGTCTTTAAAAAAAAACAAAAAAATCCTTACACACTTGTATTGTTGCTTCCTCAGCTAAAAAATCTGAGAAACTATTGGAGCTAAAAGTCTGTTTAGACTTATGGCTCATTTTACTGTGCAGGGTTTGTTTTTTTTTAAATTTCAGTTCTTTCCTTCAGAGAAAGTCAAAACCAAGCAAAACACATTCATATTAAAATACTATTAGTATACTTACACTGATTGAACAAAATTGCATCCTCCTTTGAGAACAGTAGCTAAGTTTAACAAATGCTTTCAAAGCCAGATGTCAGTGTGCTGCCTTTTAAATGCACCCCAATTTAAGCATAGCGTTTTCTTGACACACATCTTCAGTAAATCAAATCTTTTCAGAGTGTCTATACTAATTATATTACCCTTATGGTACAGTAAGTAATATTCATGTATGTTTGAATTAAATTGCCCTGAAGCTGAAAATGCTCATAGCATTACTGATTCAGTTCCACACAATTTACCTCAAAAAGGTAGAAATTTAAAATGCATTAGTTTAGGTGAGAAGAAGTTTTACATATATGATGCTCTATGTAAACTGTATTATTCACCAAACATTTTGAATTTTATTGCATTTCCCATTCATGACAGCAAGCCTAAGATATTCAAGTTAAGATACTGAGACAGGCTTCATCCAGTATGATCTTTATTGTATTCCACTTGACATGTGAAAAAAGCATCTGTTAAAGCACTGCTCCAACCACAAGGCTTTTGTTTGCTATCTTTTATTTTCTGCTTAGAATTCCAAGTATTACAAGTTAGAAGGAAAAGCACCAGACTGCTCCACATGAGTACCTGAGCAAAGACTAAGGCAAACGTTCATCACAACACTCGTTAGCGTGTTTGTACAACAGAAGTACAGGTCACACAACACTCTACAGACTATGACTGGTACGTGGCACTTTTTTGTGAATTGCAACTATTTGTACTAATGCAACCACGTTAGGACACCATACAAAAATGTTCATTTAGCAGGGGATGTGCTATACAATGTACTCTAAGTCATGCACACTTAGGTAAAAAAAGACAAATAAAAAAATTTGAAGTATACATTGCATACTGGGAAAACATCAAACAAAATATAAATATCCCAGAGTAGTTCCCAATCAAGTTGCCCTCAACTACAACAAAAGAGTAGCAGTATCTAAAAGCACAGTTTTTAAAGACTATGAGATTTCAGTTTTCTGCAATTTCAACATTAGCTGAAAATACCTCTTCTCCAAAGTTTTCTGAGCATCTCACAAGACAAGGGCTTTGCCAAAGCTTATGATGCATGGCACGACCTGTAACAACTTAGTTATAAACATTTTAATAAGCACAATAATTTACTGTAGCATCATTCAAACATTTACAGATAAGACCCTGTCAACATCTCTAGAAACCTGTAATTATTAAGAGTTAGTTCCATGTACAACACAACACCAGGTTGACAGTAGCTATGTAAGAACTGAAAACAGTGGAAGACTTAAAAACATGTAAGACAGGTTGCTTCTGATAGATTTTTCCCAAAATGATGTACGTGTTCTTCCAAGTTTTAAGTCCTCTTAAACCCAAACAAACAACTCCACTCTAATTACCCAAACCAGATATTTTTGCCAACATCATTCTGTCTTTGTGCCTGGAAAAACAATTAAAAGGTAGACGGGGAATCAAGTTACAGAGTTTTTCTCGAGTTATCATCATATATAAAGGCCACGAAGGTTGTTCTCCCCTCTCAATAAATTTTAATACTAGAACATTCCTGTAGCTAGGAAATCACCAATGAGTAGGATTACTGAAACATCATCACAGAAGAAAAACTTAGGTGACCAGAATGAGTTTTAAGAGTCCTAAACGAACACACAGAAGGAAGTAGCAGAGAAGACACAAAAATTGCATGTTATCTGGTGTGCCACAGCATCAGCAGCATTGTGGCACCCAGAGTCAAGGTAGTTGTGAATAAAGGAAGGTTAGTAACTTTGATTTGTATTGCTTCGAACAACTAGTGTGATCTGCTGACATGCAGTCATTGTGTGTGCATATCTAAATACCCACAGTACAACAATAAGCTTGGAGATGGCATCATTTTCCAAGGTCCCATGTTACGTGGTACGAACACAGGAAGGTGAAGGAGTCACAATTTGTGGGTGTTTGTTCAAAACACACAAAGAATCCTCAAGAGACGTATAAGGAAAGACAGCAGTGGCTTTTCCTTAGCTCTTCATATCAAAAAAATATACGTAAGAAATCTTCTACTGTATTAAAACAACATTTTAAGATCTTGACTATTTCTGGTTTTCTTTAATGAATTAGGAAGAACAATGTATAAATTTTTTCCCAAAAAAAGGGGAATTTATATATGAATTTTCAAGGACTTACATGTGAATATTTTTCCTAAAAAGTGAATTTATTATTCAAAACTTCTGGAGTCTTAACACAAACAATTCATCTCACCCCTTTCTAGTTTTCTTCTCACACCAGCATAGATTTTTGATATTCAATGGCTTAATACAGTATTTTGCTTAAACTACAATTAGAGGACTTTTTTTTTATTTTGAAGAAAATAAAGAACAAAATGTTTCAAAAAAATTTGACACACAGACTTCAAAGTTGAGAAACATATCTGAGACTACTTTTCCTTATTTTTCTTTTCTATATAACAAAAAGATTTGAGAAATTAAGGTTAGCTAAAGCTTTCTAACTGGTTGGTGTGATTCCAAACCAAAAATATATTGTACTTGTCATAAATCTTCACTTCTCTAAGTGTAAATTGGGGTCAAAATAATTAAGTATTTTCCCCAAATCAAGTTTCAGTATGATCCACACAAACATTTTTGGTCAACTTCAAAAATTGAATATAAGGCTACAGAAGTCCACAGGCTACAGTTAAAAGTGTATTCATTTACTGGTTTAAGGCACAGTATTTTTTTTTCTGTTTTTTTTATCTCTAGAAAGCTACAAGTTTAAAGTCACAGTGAGGAATTTCACAATTCAGTTTTGGTCTGGCACTCTAATTTTATGTGTCCTGTCTACTACCTGTAGACTTCTGTAAAATATTTCAGTTGTCAGGTGCTGCAGTCTCAAATACTGTTCACACTCAAAGTGATGTAGGTGGAAAATACTGAAGCCTGAATTGATGCCAAAATAGTGCACTCAGCCTTTTGTAAAACTAAACATCAACACACTTGCACATTTGATGCTTAATATATATACTCTGAAATTAAAGGTGAAGAGAAAAAAGAGTCTTGGCTGGTATTTCAACAAACAGGCAAAGCTTCACTAGAACAACAGCCTCCAGGACAGCTGCTGTGTCTTCACCAGGCCAGCCATGGTGCCTCATGTGCTGTGAGCATCGTGGTTTGTGCTACAGGGGAAGGACACTGCAAACCAAAGATAACTGCATATGGAAGGAGGAACTGGAATGATGTGCCACAAAAGAACAAGTTTCTGTGTGCCATTCCTGGTTTTCATACACGCAAAATTAGCTCTGATACCACACAAATTCCTACAGACTCCAGACCACAACCTGCCAACAACTGTAGAGAGGCCATGCTCACAAGGCTTGTTTATGATAGCACGAGTAGCAAAATCTGTCTATTTTTAAGAATGCAGAATGAAACCCTAAATCTTAAGCAAAATTAAAGTCAAAACATCCCACCTCAGGTTTTTTATGCTTCAAGGCAACAAGCACATATTAGAGGCGGTTACGTGCTTAGACCTGAAAATGGAGGTGCTGGGCAGATTTGCTTAAGTAAGAGCTATGGAATTTTCTCCTTAAATGCTTAACATTAATTTTTAAAAGCATTAATGTTTATTAATAAGACAAAACGTATAGTTTTTATTTAAGTTTGAGGATAGATGAGCTGATTAAAAGCATTGAACACCTTCTTCCATAAATAACGATATAAATCAGAAAGTATAATCTTTGTAAAAGGTTTTCAAATAAATTTTTTAAGATTTTACGGAATCTAATATTCTAGCCTAAAGTTCTGGTTCTAAAAAAAAGGCAGAAAAACTATTTTACTTTAACATAAAAAAGGAATTAGTTCTGAATTGTCGTTCATTGGCACACATTTCCTAGAGGGTATACAACAGCAGCAGGGAGCTTTGGTGACAAAAGTAGGTCTCCCCTAAAGGAACAGTGAGGAAAATTTTATATTTCACAGTACCAAGCTAAGTGCTTATAAAAGCTAGCTTGATTATCTCCCAGAAAAAAAGAGAGGCAAAATGTCAAAGCTGTAAATTAAGTGAGAAACATTCACCATTAAATGAAAAATAAGCATTAAGAATTTAGTCTGTTTTACAACAACAATTTTCTAGTAGTTGAATGACTTAAAACAGCAATACAATTCTGTACAGACACGATAACAGCTTCTAAAAACATTTTCATAACTCAGTATTGAAGGTCAGCAAATTTTTCTCAGTGCAAATAAAGTCTAAACATACTCGTCACTGTATTGAAATAAACTTGATTTGAATGAAAGTTTCTCAAATGTTAACATTTATTGACAGGCACATAATTGACTTTATTCTGTCCTGTCAAAGCTTAGAAGCAAATGTATCAGATTTCAGAAAAAAGTCAAGTAACAAGGTCATCACCTTGTAACTTGCAAACACATGGAAAATTAGCTGTCATATCAAATACCAAAATATGCAATGCTTTGGGTTTTATTAAGTATCAATAAATTTGATTTTATTAATCGCTGACTTTAAAGACAGTCCAATTAGGGTAATGAAAAATTCCCTTAGACATGCAGGTAGTCTCTATGACTCCTGCAATATATTACTACTGCACTGTTTAGGGTTTTTTTATTATTCATCTGTTTCTTTTAAAACTTAGCAAATTAATATTCAGTAATGAATTGCTACATGAATTAGCTCACTCAAAACTAAAATCAGGGCAGAACTCTAAATATTGGAAATAATATTAACTTGAATTCCATTTATTGCAAGTTTTTTGGAAATAAAACATGCCAAAAAAACCCCCTCCCACCAAAACTCAAAAAAAACCAACCCCCTTTTAACAGGATGCTGAAATGTGACACACTGCAACCAACCTTTAAATCAAAACTAAAAGTATCACCTTTGGACAACATTCATTCATTGAGTTTCAAGGTACATTTGGTAATTCCAGTGAAGAGGTGAGTCCTCCCTTACCAGACTCATGGAGACCTCCTATGAGCTGTTTGCTACACCTGCAGGTACTGTGACTGAGCATGGTAAGACTGTGAGGAACCACGTTTGATGACATCAACCAGAAAAGATTATAGACTTCATGAGCAATTTCAGGGTATGAAGATATCACTAAAAGCTTCTCATGAAATCTACCCCTGCCAAAGAAAGATTCTGCTGTACATATATGCTGTACCAAAGTACTTTAAGTTCTTGCCCTGTTTTCTCATTCTGCTTCTGATAGCTTATAAAAAATACTACAATAAAGCCACATAAATAGTTCTTATTTTGAATGCATCCCAAGGTATAAACCTTTACAAGTTAATTTGTGTCTTGATCTTCTCCCACACAGTCTACATAGTCTAAAATTTGAAGAATAAACTGGAATTTTAATTT